ATTCATCTGCCTCTCTTTCTAGATGGTCCTAATAAGAACTAAAGCCAGCAGTAGGTTATAGAACGAAAGTTGTTTAAGTAGTCATTGGATGGACATAAAGCCCTGCCCAACTACTTTGTACATTTGACCAAGGCATTACTTTATTTATTTATGCTTTAAAATTGTATTCCATCCATCTTCTTTGTGGATTACTTTTGGTGGCTGATCAAAGCAGAAGGCTACGCTTGTTCATTGTGCTGAAAATATTTGGTTTTGTCCTTTTTTTTCTTTATTTGCTATGTTTCTGAGCTTTGACACTGATCCACAGCTGTACTCCAAAAATATGCTCACAATTGCACCTGCAAATGTATTTTCACAATTGGACACTTTCCCCAATTATGCAAGAGCATAAATCCCTAACCCAGCACCTCCACATTTGCATTAGATTAAAATTCCCATCATTCACAAGTGTGATGAAATTTGGGAGTGTTGGAAGTTGTAGTTCAGCACATCTGAAGGGAAGCAAGTTGAGGAAAGTGCTGCAAAGAATAGGACAGTGAAGATTTTCCTTTCCCATAGATAAGAAAAGGGATGGATCCATAGAGGGTTTTTTTGTTTTGTTTTGGTTTTTTGCCTATCCCAGCAGAAACAGTGGAAACACATGTTCCTCCAGTACTTCTGCTTTTTATGGAGGACTCTGAAAAGGGGAAGATTGATGGTGGCCCCAGATGCTGGCTGGCTTGTAAGCCATGCCAACTTTGGTGAAATTCAGGAACTTTGGAATCTGAAAAATGGGGGTCAGATATTTAAGAACTTTGCTTAGAGGTTATGCTTTGACATCCTGAATGGGCTTTGCTGTCCCTTTAGGTTTCACTTGCTGACTGAGTTTGAGTTAGGGCTCCCAATGACTTTGCTGCATTTCTTTCAGAATGCCCTGACCAAGTGTACTGCCCAGTTTACTGAAATTATGGACATTACTGAAATATCAGAACCAGTCCCTGAGCCAACTCCACCCCTAGCAAGACCACATGCTGTGGTGACTTCTGGTTATGAGAAGCGATTTCTTCCTACTCAAGAGGAACTCTTGAATTGGATTGAGAAGGAAGGAAAAAGTTCTCCATTTTCTGTGGACTAAGAGAAGTGGGGACATGATCTTTGGTGGGCATCTGCTCAGCTGCTACTTCTGATCCAGCTGCAGATCAAGCTTCTCTTGGAAGGACCATTCCTTGGGCTCTTGAAGCTTCTATTGTGCCTTTGGATCAAATGACTGAATTGATCTGCTTAAAACAAACTGGGCAGTGAGCTTAAGCCAGAGACTACAGTGGCCTTATCCAATCTCCAGGATCTTCAGGACTGTCCTGCTGATTTAATACACTTCTGAACTTCAGCACATCACCAGAATCTGGGATTGGTAGTAATGTTGGATGGCTGGTCCTTTCTTCAAAGATGCCCAATTGGGCCCTTCCTCAGGTGCTGGAAGCAAAGCCTTTGTGGCTGTAGCCTGGCAGCGGTGAAATTCCCCCAGGTTGGAACTGAGGAAACCTTTTTTTCTTTTTTACTTTCTGCCAAAAAGGACTGTATAAAACTTTACTTTTTAAAGGGCAGGGTGATTCCCCGCACCCAGAAGTTATAAGGTATCACTTATAAGCTGTTTCAATATAGAGTCTAAGGTGCTGGATTAACAACTGAGAGACCATGAGTTCTGGTCCTCCCTTAGGCTGGGTGACCAGTCACTCTCTCTCAGCCCAACCCAACTTACAGGGTTGTTGTGGGAAAAATAGGCAGAAGCTTTAGGTGTGCATCTAAGGTGTATATTTTGAGTTAGCCAAAACAAACTCAGGTTAAAAATCTAATAAATATTTGTATACAATCTATTTTATAGTTCACAAACTTTTCTTTTAAGAAGCAGCAGCATATAAGTGCTTTTAAAAGGCACTTTGTGCTTAAGTAGCCCAGTGTGGAAGCTATCCCATGCATACAATTGTTTCCTTTGTGGAGAAGATGGAATGTGATTTCCTACTATTAATTTCTCAGCTTTTTGATTATGGGAAACCTTATTGCAATGTTAATTTCCATGTGGTTCTCCTGGCCATAGCTTCATCTTATGGAAGATCTTATATATCAATCCCTGAGTCCATATGGGGCAGGAGGGGTTACTGCCCCACCATTTAGTGGCCAGGCGCATAGTTTTTTCTTTATGATTTCTTAAGGGCATAGAGGTTTGCTGGATCGGATCAGTACCTCAACAAGGCCAGTAAATTCCAGACAGTAAGCAGCATGGAAACTGTAGTCTCCTATTCTTCTATAGGAATAAGGATCAGAGAGGCTCCTCCTTGACTCTCATGGCTGGTAGATGGGTATCTTCATGTCCATTTCCAATTCACTGAGCTGGTCTTATTTCCAGAGTGATCTGAATCACCACCAGTCGTCCCATTTTTTGAAACTCTGGTATACCATGAATAGCCAAGAAAACAAATGGATCATTGAACAAATTGACTCAGAGTTCTCACTTGAAACACAAATGACCAGGCTCAGATTACCATATTTTGGACACATTATTGAAAGGCCTAGCTCTCTAGAGAAGGCTCTATTGCTGGGAAAAGTGGAAGGAAAGAGAAGAAGACAACCAGCAGCAAGGTGGACGGACTCAGTTACAGTGGTGATGGGTGCACCATTGGAAGACCTGAAGGACCAGGGTAGGGACAGATCATCATGGAGAAGATCTATGCGGTCAGTAAGAGTCGACAACAACTTGATGGCACATAATTATCCTCTAACCCCACGTAAGGGCCAGGTTTATACCATACTTTAAACAAAAATAAACTACATTATGGCTTAGTGTGATGTTTCAACCCAGTCTTTGTTTAAGCAGTCATTCCTATTTTCCATGCTTCAATAATGCCTGCGTTTTCTCCCATTATTTTTGTACAGTACTAGCAGAGCTCTGGCTGAACACTTTCTGCCAGCGGATACAATTTTACTTTGGTTACTTTTGCTGTTTATGAAGACTCACAGCTATCTCCTTTGTAGGCATTCAGAGCCAAAGAAATCATGTAACAAGCCCTTGTCTTTGTAGAACGTGAATGTGATTTTCCAGTGTAGAGCTGTAATTTTGAGCAGTCTCCCTCTAGGAGGGAGGAAATGTAGAAGGAAGGAAAGTGAGGGGAAGTTCCTGGATAGCTAAAGAGGAGGGAGAGAATACTGTCTTCAAGTTTGGTGAAATTACAAGACTTGGAAATAAAATCACCTTGCAGAAAAACAAGTTATAAGGCAAGATATCTGAGTAAGATATATCTGTACTGAAAAGGGCAAGCAGTCAGTCATTGCTGCTTACACCATGACATATCTCCATGCGTCCTTTAACTGTAAATGTAGTGTAGATGCAAGAACAAATACTTGGCTCCACTAACATTTCAAATGGTAGCCCTATTCCCTTTTCGCCACTAGAGGGCAGGACAGTTCCAATATTTTGGATTTTTTTGGCAATTGATTATTTTCTAAAGGTTTTGTTTTAGAAATACCTTCTCAAGGGTCCTTTCACTTTGAAGCTTGTTCATGGGTTCCATTCAGCACGCTACAGTTATTCCCTTTGCCTGCTTTTAAGATAGAGACTTCTGGCGTCTTGATGGGATCATTTCTCATTTCATTCTACAAATGGCCTTACTAAAAAAGAACATGTCA